ATTTTTTTTCTTCAAAAATCTTCGATCTTAACCTTTATCACTTGGTTATATGCCGTAACCCTTCTATTTCACTATTTTTTGAAATATATTAAAGCAACAAACATCATAGCTTAAAATTGAAATAAAATCAAATAAAAATACGGAAAAAAAAATGCTAATGATAACAAACTTAACAACACGATAAAAATCGAACTTATCAACTATTACTTTAGTGACAACCTACAAATGTGGTAGTAATAATATATAACATTTCCATGTTTTTACATTGTTGGGTAACACTTTGTCGAGGTGATATCTTAATAAAACTCCATGTGTTTATTGATCATCTTCTCCACTCATGATATTTATAGAAAAAATGTTATGTAGTTGTACATATGTATGGATCATGTTTTTATCATAATTCACCTTTCAAAATTATGTTACCTGTAAATCTCTAAGAAATTAATTTGTCACCCTTATTTTATACATGTCACCTCTTAATTTTTATTATTTTTAAAATATCTATTTTACTATTTACTTTAAATTTTTATTTTTATCAAAAAAAATGTACCATTATTTAAAGGAGTCAAAAACGAAATTTTCGGTACGTTAAGCAAATTTTCAGTACCGATTTTGGTCGTCTACTTGAAATTCTTTATATTCTACAAATTTCCGATAGCGATTAACCAAAAATTTTAAAAATTTCAATCAATTTTCAGAAGCTAGCAGGAGTACCAGAAATTACGCAAATTTCTGATATAAAACGTTAACCGGAAATTTCAATTATACTTGAAAGTTGTTGTATGTCTGCAGATGAAATTTTATATATTTGCGGTCCTGAACTGGCAACATCAACTTCTTCTACGAATTTGTGCAATGATCTTACACAGTTCTTCATCACATATACGGTATGACTCTTATTTAATTTACACATTTTTTATTTGTTTTTTTGTTAATTGATGAAGTTTACTAATTATATATTGTTGTAATTGACATATTTTTAAATCACGAGCTAAAGTTCTTGAATGAGCACAATCTACTGGTAAAAATTATGGTATTGCTTTTGTTACAATTCGGTCAGATTCTGCAAATGGACTGCGAGGGAGGAAGGATAAATTGATTATGGATTGTGACAGAGGGGCAAATTACAAAAAGAAAAATGAATCTGGGAAGCCTTTTGATGACAACTATACTATGAAGGTTAAATGTCCATTTAGGCTGAGATCTATTCCAAGTGGTACCGGTTAGAAGGTGACGGTTAGATGCAATTTGCACACTCATAGACTAGATAAGGATTTGGAACGTCATGACATATTGGGTCGTCTAAAAGATCATGAAAGAAAGTTTGTTAATGATATGACGAAGTACAACATGGCACCAAGGTACATCATGTCTGCTTTGAAAGACAAAGACCCAGAAAATCTCATGAGTATTACCCAGATATACCGAGCTAGAGCTACGTACATAATGGGAAAGAGAGGTGCAATGACAGAAATGCAAATGTTATTGAGTCTTATTCATCAAGAGAAATACATGTGTTGGACTAGAAATAGGGAGAATTCGAATATTGTGGGTGATATTTTATGGACACATCCTAATTATGTGAAGTTGTTGAATATGTTTCATATGGTGTTAATATTTGATTGCACATACAAGACAAATAGGTAAGAATTTTACTTCTCTCATTCAAAAATATGATTGAGTGACATGGTTGTTTATGTGCATTTTAATCATATAAATACTGACTACCATTGTTGGAGAGTGTTGGTGTTACATCAACAAAATTAACGCTTTCAATTGCTTTTGCCTATTTAGAACATGAAAGGGAGGAGAACTTCACATGGGCACTACAGAAGCTCAAAGAGTTGTTCTATTCAGAGAAATTGCTTCTGAATATTGTGGTGACGGACCGGGAACTTGCATTAATGAATATCATTGATTATGTGTTTCCAAATGTAACTCATATGTTGTGTACGTTCCGTGTTTCAAAAAACGTGAGCATGAAATGTAAGGAGTGTGTGAAATCAGAAAGACAAGAACATGTCATAGATCAATGGAACAACATCATGTATTCAAATACAGAAGACGAGTTTGATGTACATTTCAATCACTTCGAGAGTGTTTATGGTGATATTCCATCATTTGTCAAGTATGTGAATGAAACATAGTTAACATCATATAAAGAAAGATTTGTTGTTGCATGGACTAACAGAGTCACTCATTTAGGAAACACAACAACAAACAAGTACATTGGACTAACAGAAAATATGTTTATGTTTAGATATTATTTTGAAAGTTGTTTAGATAATATGTTCATGTTTTTTAGGATGGAGTTTGCACATTGGAGACTAAAGAACTTGTTGACTATAAGTTGTGGTGATTTATGTCGAAGTTGGGATGTTGTGAACATAATGTTGAAGTTGCAACTAGGTTCCATCAGAGTTTCGTTTCAAAAAAGTATCGTGAATATTGAGCATCGTTATAACACCCCCTTCTTCTATTCTAAATTGCACATTTTTGTCTCAAGACAATGTATACAACTCATTGAAAAGGAACTAGAAAGAGTACAATTTGCTGGCGCAAGCAAGAAGAGGGTGGTCATTACGTTAGAATAACACATGGATTACCGTGTGCTTGTCAGCTTATCGATTTCCAAATATTAGGCACACATATACCTTTGAAATCAATTCTTGTATTTTGAACGAAATTGCACATTTTAAAACATGATGTGACTTCTGATTAGAGTAAGTGGGATTTAGAAGAAGAGTGTGACGAGTTGAAGAGATATTCCAGTACTTTGGATATTGTGGGTCAGAGGGTGTTGAAGAAAAAAGCCAGTGATCTAACTTATCCATCCATAACTTCAATGTGTCCACCGCCAGTTAAATACAAGCCAAATAGGGGAGTTAAGAAAAGTAGAAAGGATGAGGAGAGTGATGTTATCGTGATCCTAGCCAATGGGAATATGTTGAGGCTTCTCAGGGAAGTCATACTACGAAGAGATCGTGTATAAAACCAAGTAGAAGTCAATCGTCGACCATGCATATTAGTAAGAAACCTTATACCAAATCTTCAATAGCTGAGTACTTGTTATAGTTTCCTGCTTTCTTTCATCCATACATCGATGACATAATTGATGTTGAGAATGATAGAAATTATAATTTTCGTTGCATTTCATCTTTTCATCTTTATTAGGATGTGGGCAAGACGCATGTTATTCGGTTAGAAAGCAGTTGGATACTCAAGTCCATCAACATGCTGACTTGTTTTCCAAGTTGTTTTATGATATTGTCTCTGTTGTTAGCACTTCGTTACAAGTAAAACACTTGGGTGTACAGGGTAGAGATAAATGGATGTGCATTTCTGATATGGGTTACAACCTATTGCTTCTAAATACAAAGTCGTATTTTTTTCCATTTCCATGAGACTTAACATAACATTTTCTCACTTCTCATAGCTCCACCCTTGTACACGAGTCAACATACAATCATTGTTGTTGGTTTTGTCAACGATAATCATTGAGTTCAGCTAAAATTGAAACATGATTGTCCACTACATCCCGTCACTACTCGTTGGAGGGAAAATTATTCTAATGATGCAAAAGCATGGAAATCAGCATATGTGGGTCGTTTCAGGCATTGAGAAGAATTGTCTAGGAAATGATTGTAGTGTTTTTGTAATGCATATATGTATGACATTTATTCTATTTATATATTTAATTCGTTCGTTATTTTTCACTGTGTACTTTTATTCGAGTAAAAGTTATAAAAAAATTAAAAAATTAAAAATTCCACTATTACTGAAAATTTAAAATTTCCGATTTTTTCCACACTAGAAATTTCAAATTTTTTATTTCTTATAATGATGACATACACTAGAAATTAAAAATTTCCAGCATCAAATATTTCAAATTACCGATTAAATACATACGGCACGGTAAAATTTTGGAAAATCAATGAAATTTTTAATATTTTTGTGAAATTTCCGTATTGCGCCGGAAATTTCAAAAAAACCCAGATATTAGAGAGGGACATTTTCATAAAAATACCAAATTTGGGGGGCATGTTTATTCCTCTGAATCCCTACTTCTTTTGTTCGTATTTTTAAATTGTAATACCTTCATCAAAATCATTGACTTAATTCAATAACTATCAATTTTACCCAAAACATATCCCAAAGTTTTTATCATTAGTCAAAATAAATTGATTTGAAATTAAATTACAAAAATTAAAAAGAATTTTAAAGACAATGAAATGCATACTTTATATTCTGAAAAGTTTGAGTCGGTTTTTATTCCAAATAGACTTAAAAAATGTATTCGACCATTTGTTCTCTTATGAATGAAAAACGAATCTGAATATCAGATATTTCAATGACAAATCACAATTAAGATAATTATCTTGCAGCCACTAACTTCAACAGAATATGAGCTTAAAATCAACACACATCTCTATTTTTGTTGTCGTCCACTAACATTTTGTCCTGTTGATATCTTAGTAACATCTCACGTTTGAAATGATCATGTTTTCCACTACAAGTGTTTGTAGAAAAAATGTATCTACAACATATATACTGGTATTAATTTTATTTCTATTCCATGTCAAACTTACCTTACTTCTCAAATCCATAGTTGTTTCATATGCTCAACATAATATTTAACAGCATTTAGACAGTACCTTGAAGATGGAAGAAAAATATAGCCCACAAGGTAACCTAGGAAGCATATATATGTAAATATACCTTATTTATAATGGTATACACAAACTAACAGACCCACAAAAATTAAGAGGTATAAGCCGGCAATCCTAACTTTTAAATACAACACGAGTAAACGAGGCAAAACAATATTTTTCAACTTTCAAGGACAAAACATGAGTATAAATTCTCAGATGTCAGAAGCCGAGACATGCGTGCATACTATAAACAGCATCACGTGACAAAGATTGCTGGTATGTAGTGATATCATACAACGGTAAACCAAAACATTGGTGCTATTCAAACTCACAAGTCATCTAAAATTCTCAATCAGGAATTTGGTCATAGCCTCTATTCTCAGGAGACTGGTGCGACCCATGACCTGTTCTTCCTGCATGTTGAGAACTTCACTTTAGTCTCTTTCATACCATAAGAAAATAAGGGTATGCCAAAAATCACTGGACTTTATACCTGATAGGTCATAACCAGCAGCATGTCTTGAATCTGGATGACTTCCCCAGTCTGTGGACCTGGGAGGTGTCACATGCAAACCAAGCTGTTGAATCATGAAATGACTTCCCCCCATGGCTTGATGTTCTTCATTTACCCGCATTGGGTTCCCGCTGGAACTGTCAACTGTTTGGCGGAAACCTAAATTTGATGCTGATTCGCCAACTGGTGATGGCAACTTACCGGCAGAGGCGTCACCTTTTCCACCAGCACTAGTATCCTTCTTGTTGTCGATAGAAAATGTACCAACAATGACCTGTATATGTAATTCATATCAGGTGGTGCTTGGTAGTAGTAAAAGCGGGAAGGTGAAAAATAAAAGTGAGATTTGGTGATAAATCTTTCTCCCCAGCTTCTTGTCTTGGAGCATATGTATTCTACCACACAACCTAGAGAATGCAATTTACCGAAGACAAGAGAAAAAAAAGGCAGGACACCGGCTCATGTTTCCAACCTACATGTATGTTCATTTGCATTTCCTTCTAAGATTACCTGAACTGGACCAGCGGCTTTAAGAGGCCCACCAATACCACCACCAATGATTTGTCCATCAGAATTAGACAAGCATACACTGAGACCGCCACTTCGCCCGCCAGTTTCATTACGGACATAGGAACCGGTAAGTGAAATAATATCAAACCGACCCTGATATCAAAGCATTAAAGAATTAAATTGTGGCAGTTACAATATGAGTACATGACCAAATCAAAAGCATGTGACTGAACAATTGATAAAGATTAACGACAACTATTTTCATCAGTACGCAGTGTTTTTTGTAGACTATGACTCCTACTTAACAATTAATTCAGTGATAATATTTGAAATCACAATTACCACAACTTGGCACTAACATTAAATTACCATCTTAATCTAATATAGACAATTTACACAAAGGCTCCTCTTATCTGTACTCTTGAAGGTGACTGAGAAGATCAATCAATATTCTTATAAGTGGTGCACTCAGATATACCAAAAATGAGACAATTTCGTTTGAACCTCAAACTTCCACATTCAGATTTGACCACCAAATAGTTTTGTTACTTGTTAGTAATTGTTGTGTGTATACAAACTAGCCATAAGGACGCAGAAACGTACATGTATAAAATCAAAGAGATGAAAAGGTCACGAGAACATACGATAAGATAAAAATGAAAAATATGGCGGAGGACAATAACTTATTCTTAATAATTTTTTTTTATATCAACATTTATATTCTACTACTCATTGGCCAATCAACATGTGGACGCACAAGGGTCATTTTAGAGCATTATGGGTAAGATGTAAAGATAAACCTTGGTTTCTTTAATACGAATAGAAAAGATTAATCACCTCATTCAATGGCAAGAGAAAAATATTAAATAGAAATGAAAAAAATTCAAAGTAATATAAATAGGATTCTGAGCCTTGGTTATGTTAATACACAAATATACAATATTTTAACCATATGTTGCAAGTTTCAACAGTTCCATTTCCTTTTGGAGATTGTTTGAAGAATCGGGAAGGGAAGATAATATTACATAAAAGACATGATAGAAAACAGGGATTATATTTCACCTCATACGTAATGTTGCCTCCTGAAGATGCTGGTTGACGAAGAGAGGCATTAGAGATGGAACCAGATGCAGACAGAATGCATATTTCACCCCTATTTTGTTGCATAAATTGCATAATTTTCTGGCCAACATCCTAATAAATAAATGCTCAGATGATTATACAAGTAAGATACATACAGAAGAAATATGAAAACCAAATTGGACAAATGGAAAACATAATATATTCAAACATCATGGATGCAGAAAAATTGACAATGACTAAAAAAAGAAAATTAAGATCCTAAAACAACTTGGCTGGTGGTGAACTAAAAGGAGAAAAGGACTTATGTCAGACAATACATACAGGTGTATTTTGCTTAAATAAACTGTTATTTGTAGAGATGTAAAGGAAGTTATTTTTGAGTGATGTTGTTATAGGTGCACTTAAGTAAGTTCAGATTGGTGAACATCAGCAAGAAACCAGGTGTTACTAAAGTGTCCCCTAAAAGAACTATTATTGGATTGGAGCAGAGAACTCCCTCCCGCCAATACACAATCTAAACTACAAGACATAGTCACCTTATTTATCAACTCTTTGTCCATCAACCTACTTTCACAAAGAACTTAATATACCAAGAAGTTACAAGTTTACAAAATTAAAATCATCAATACCACAAAAATATTGAAATGTATATGAAAAAAAGTCAGTTACAATCACAACGAATCATGGCTGAGCATATCAGCCATCAATCCTTCAAACCTGATACTTCACATAGGACTAACAAGTGCCCAAGCAAACAAGGTGGCAAAGGACATATTAGTAGTATAAAATAAGCCAATAACTGGTTTTGCTTTCTAAATCTAATAAAGGGCACAAAAATTATAGTTATAGCACAGTAGGTATTTGTAAGTTGTGTGCACAACCTAGTTGGTATCTACTCGTGAGACCGGTTGTTAATGAGTTTAGTAGATATACCCAAAAGAAATATATAACCGCGCCATTTCAGACTCTAACTAAGCCTAGATGTGAACCCAAGTCACTACACTTACCAGGTACTGCAAGCAGATGTAGAAATCCAAAACCAAGAAGCAATACTCAAGGACAGTGAAAAACGCATACCTCACCAGCAGTAACAGCAATGACATGTACACTGAAACCTTGTCCTGCATTGCCTGCATCACTCCATTCACAGAAGCATCAAATTAAAATTACAGACTACATACATGATATCTTTTGTTATTCTAATCACTAAGATAGTGTCAAAAACATAAACTGAAGCTACATAACGAAGAAAAGTTAGTTACCCATATGCACCCTCGATTTCTTAGAAATAACATCCAAGTGAAACAAACGAATATCAATCAATTGACAACACAACACGAAAAACACTGAGAAAATGTGTGTCTGTGTCGGCGTCCAAAACCGATACCAACACTTGTAATTACATTTTATTTATTTATTTATTTCAAATTTTTCAAATCATTACCAGTGTCGTGTTTCTGTGTCTATGCTTCATAGGAAAGAGTGGCCGAAAGAGAGATATAACAATGAAAGCATGATTAAGTACAACACAAAAACTATTTCAACTTGGACATCAAATCTTATATAGTTACTACACTAGTGGATCAAATCAAACACAAAATCAAATCCAGATTACTTAGTTTTCAAGTGTGAATTCACAGCCAGAACAAATCAAAACATAATCAAAAAACATGAATTCAATTCATAAACACTCAAATTCCGGTGAAGCAAAAAAAAAAAAAGAAACCCTAGAGAGAGAGAGAAACGAACCTAGAGAGAGAGAATGAGATTTCCTAGAAGTGAAAGAAGGAGAAGGAGTGAAAGAATTGGAGTTCTTAATGTTGTTGTTATTCTCAGAAGTAGGTGAAAACGACGACGTAGAACCTTTCTTAGCAGCTAGGGCTTGTTCTGGAGTTCCATATTTTCTAGGTCTTCCACGTTTTCGCTTAGCTGGTTCCAGCTGAGAGGAGACAGCAGAAGGGTAGAGTATGTGGGATCCATCGAGGCCGTTGGTCGGAGACGCGGTGGTGGTAGTGGCGGAGGCTACGGTGGTGGAATTTCCCTGTGGTGGTGGTTGTTGTTGTTGTTGTTGTTGGTGAAGGTGGTGATGCTGTTGTTGTTGGTGGTTGTGGTGGTGGAAGAAAGAGCTTAATGGGTTGTCATTGGGTTCCATTTTTTGATGCTGCAAATTTTTTAGTATTTTTTTATTTGAAATAAAATTATTATTTATTGTAATATTAAATAATGAAAGAAAAGTACTAGTTTATTATTGTTGGTATATATATTATCCTGTAAGAACTAAGAAATGTGGTTTGGCTTCTCTTGACCTTGTGATTTGGTTTTTTTTTTTTTTTTGTCTCCAAGTTTAACCTTTCACTACTATATTGAGTAGTTTAAATTATGTGAACAAGTCAATCAAACTTGATTTAATTATGTGAATAAGTCAATTAGGTTTATTTGAAGCATATAAAATAGTAAAAAGTTTAAACTAATTTAATAAATTATATCTAAAAAAAATTAAAATTACTAATAATAAATTAATATAATATATTATTTTAATATAAAAATTATACTATTTATTTTTTATATTTTTTATTTTTTAACACTAAAAACAGTTGATTTTTATAGAAAATGCAAAAATTCATGCATCAATGTTCAGTCTCTTACTACAATAAAAATAGCTTTTAAGAGAATTGATTTTATCATCAAAAAAATAGTGAACCGCAACTTATTGTTCGTTTACTTGCTCTTTTGGTATAATCTTATTATATTAATGAAAAGATGGAAAGATTAACGATTTGTTCATATAAAAAATAAGGTTAAATATCATTTTTAGTCTCTTATCTCTACATCTGATTCATTTTGGTCATTTTTCTTTAATAATGACCAATTTGATCTTTTACCTACTCAAACAGAGTTAAATAAGTCTTTTCCGTTAATTTATGATAAATGGCGTTAAACAGAAATTATGTGGCAGCTGAGGTGGATTATCTTCTTCATAACCTTCTTCTTCCTTGCATAATCTATGTTCTTTATACTCCAGTCTAACCCTTATTCGAATAGAGTAAAAATCCTCAAATCGAAACCTAATTCAATTACATTGGTTGCCTAATCATGAGTTCTAGTCGCGGTTCATCATCATCAGCGAAAAACAAGAGTGATTTGCAGGTTTATAGCAGTTTTAATCTTCCATGGAAATCTTGTTGTCGTTGTGGAGACACTAATGTACTTCAAAGGGCAAAAACAATCAACAATTATGGAAAGCTGAAGTATAAAAATTCAACATTTTAAGATAAGATGAAGTGTAAAAATTCTAGGTTAAAATATTGTTAAATTTTCTTCTTATTACATTGTTTGTTTCTTTCTTAATCTCTATAGGGATATAATAATGTTGGTTCTGGATTCTTTGAATGGTTCTACGAAAAAGTAAGAGATGAAAAAAAGCAATTCACGATGAAGCAATAAAGTAAGATAGATGTGTTAACTAAAGAGATCGAGGAAGCCATGAAATAGGTTGAACTATTCAGGCTCAGTAATGTGGAATTAGAAGTTTCTTTGAAGAACACTATCAAGTGGAAAAAGTTTTGGAAGTTTATATTTTATGTTGTGTTCTTTGTTGTAATATTTAAGATGTTGTAATCTTCACTATGTACCAATTGACAATCTTTGTTTCATTATGTACCAATTGACAATCTTTGTTTAGCTATGTACCAATTGATAATTTTTGTTTCACTAAGTACCAGTTCAATGTTTGAGTTATGGATACAAGTTCAACTTTTTCAATTATGCACTATAAATTTTGGCATGAATTATTTGTACCATTTTAATTATTTTACATGAATAAATATGTTATGTAGTATAATTTTGGCATGGATTAATTGTACCAGTTCAATTATTTTACCTGAATGAATGTGTTATGTAATATATGTTTTGGTATGGATTAGTTGTACCAGTTCAAACTTTAATAAACCTGAATAAACTTGAATCACAACAGAATTAAACTTGAATAAACTTGAAACATCACGAACTTAGATAAACTTGTTCAACTTGAATAAACATTGTTTAAAATAATAGTGGAGCCAAAACAGACATTACATTATTCTCAAAAAAGTGGATCAAAACAGACATTACAAAAGATTATTGTTGTTGTTGTTATCAGAAATAGGTGAAAACGACGACGTAGAACCCTTCTCAACAGCTAGGGCTTGTTCTGGAGTTCCATATTTTCTAGGTCTTCCTCATTTTCTCTTAGTAGGTTCCAGTTAAGAAGAGACATCAGAAAGGTGGAGTGTGTGGGATCTATTGAGGTCGTTGGTCGGAGACGCGATGGTGGTAGTGGCAGAGGCTACGGTGGTGGAGTTTCTCCGTGGTGGTTGTTGGTGAAGGTGGTGATGATGTTGTTGGTGGTGGAAGAAAAAGCTTAATTGATTATCATTGGATTTTATTTTTTACACTGCACAAATTTTTAGTATTCTTTTATTTTTATTTAAAATAAAATTATTATTTTTTATAATATTAAATAATGAAAGAAAAATAATTTATTATTGTTGATATATATATATATATATATATATATATATATATATATATATATATATATATATATATATATATATATATATATATATATATATATATATATATATATATATATATATATATATATAATATATATATATATATATATATATATATATATATATATATATATATATATATATATATATATATATATATATATATATATATATATATATATATATATATATATATATTATCTTGTAAGAACAAGAAATGTGATTTGGCTTCTCTTGACTTGTGATTTGGTTTTTTTCCTCCAAGTTTAACCTTTCACTACTATATTGAATTAAAAAAAAATTGTTTAGATTATGTGAATAAGTCAATCTAATTGATTTAATTATTTGAACAAGTCAATTAAATTTATTTGAAGCATATAAAATACTAAAAAGTTTAAACTAATTTAATAAATTATATTCATAAAGAAATTAAAATTACTAATAATAAATTAATATAATATATTATTTTAATATAAAAATTATATTATTTATATTTGATACTATTTATTTTCTAACATTAAAAGTAATTGATCTTTTATAAAAAATATAAAAATTCATGCATAGCAATATTGTATCTCCTAAGACAATAACTATAAAAAAGAGGAAACCAAAATTTATTATCTATTTACTTACTCTTTCCGTGTAATCTTAATTATATTAATTAAAAGATAGAAAGATTAATATTTTGTTCATATAAAATAAAGTCAAATATCCTTTTTAATCTCTTATCTCTACTTCTGAACTTATTTTAATTTTTTTTAAACAATGATCAATTTAATCTTTTACCTATCCAAACTGAATTAAATAAGTCATTTATGTCAATTTATAATAAATTAATTTAATAAATTATATTTAAAAAACTAAAATTACTAATAATAAATTAGTATAACATATTATTTTAATATAAAAAATATACTATTTGTATTTGATATTTTTGATTTTCTATATCAAAAATAATTGATTTTTTATCGAATATTTAAAGGTTTATGCATAGCAAATGTTATATCTCTTAGAACAATAAGTATAATTTTTAAAAATATTAATTTTATCATCCAAAAATAAATAAATTATATTTCTTATTATTACGATATAATCTTTATTATATTAATGAAAAGATGGAAAGATTAACTATTTGTTCATATAAAGAATAAAATATATTTATATTATTTGATTTGATTTAGTTTAGAAAATTTAATATGAAATTTAAAATAATTTTATAATTTAATAATATTTAATTTTAAATTTTAAAAAATTATATTAAATTTTCTAAAAATTACTAAGGTAAAATAAAATGAAAATTCTCAATTATTATAAAATATACATTAACTTTTAAGTTCTATATAAAAATAGACGGTCTCTCTCTAATTTATACTTTATAGTGAAAGACAAAAAATGATATTTATCTATCACTTCAAATTTACGTTGCCATATATAAGTTTAGGAAATGTTAGTAGATGTTTGAAAACTAAAAGATTTGTCAATGTTATTTCAACAAAAATTGAAAGAGGTGTGTGATTTTCTCTTAAATTAAATAATAATTAGATCAAATTAGCTTTAACACTCTTTGAAATTCAACTCACTTCATTTTTTATAAATCATGTGGACTATTTGAAGCTAAATAGATCTATGTAAAAAAAACAAAATTTCAAGATTTCATTAATAATTTAAAAGAATTGGAATTCAATCCAAGACTTTATAGGACTAGGGTAGGGAGAATCATAGCGGTTGCTATTTAAACTAAAAGTAGTTGGTTTCTTGTTGAAACAAAAAAGTAGTTGATGTTGGTGTATCTATTCCATTTTATTTAATTAAAGTTTTCATTATTTTTCTCTTACGAAAATATGAATAAAAATATTGTATATGTATATTTGTATTTGTATGGGGGTGATAAGTGATATGTAGGTCGATATTTGTGTTGTGTGGGTGACAACCAATTCGTGGGTAGTGAGTGAGTGGTGAGAAAGACAGCAAGACAATGACAAGCAAAGATATGACTACTATTCCAAACAGATAAGACCTTGGCTTATCACTCACCTGGTCCACTTTTATCATTCTTGTTGGATTGGGTTTTGATTCCTTGTGAATATCGAACACCGACTACACAACATTTCTCTATTCATTCTTTTATCTTTACGATTTAATGTAGATGAAGGGTTGTGTGAGAACAGAAGAGACATCATGAGAGAATTGACAGGAGAGGATCCAAATTCAAGATTGATCATTGAAAAGATTTTGATTGGTCTAAATTTGCAAGGAAACTTGTACAATTATTTAGTATATTTGATGTGAACAAGTATAATGTAATAGTTTTTATTATTTTCATGAATGAATTTAAAATTGTAGAATGTAAAATGGAAATGAGAAATGAATTATGTTAAAAATATAATATTATATGTGTTATGCGGGAGAATAAGATGATGATCAAATAAGTTAAATTGAGTGTTGTGTCGCGATGAAGTTTTGATTTCGATATGGTAGATGAAGCTAACTAAAATATTAGCACTTCAATGCTCAAGTTAGTGTAAGAAGTGAATAGTAAAATTTTAAATGGAAAAGAGAATACCTCTAAATGATGCGTCAATCCTGCTTTTATAGA